TTTTTTTTTTTTTAAAGCGATGGCTTTTGCAAGTGGAGTTTGCGGTTCTAGGGGAATATATATCCTGTGTTGCTTTTATCGCGATTGCTTTTAATAGACGGTGTTTAGTTTTGACCGGATTAGGAAAAGGTTTTCAAGATTGAGTATATCTCCTGTATTTCGATATCTTGGATTTTGGTGTCCTGTACAGCTTCGTTTCAAAACAAATTCGCCCACCACAATTTTTTTTTAACTCCAAAAACTTAAAAATATGGACTGTAGTCCGGAGTATTATAACCTTGGGTAAACAAAATTAAACAATGCTAACTACCAAACCCGCGGAACAAAGGGAGCGGGAAAAGCAAAGACAAAATTCCCACCAGGAGGTAAGCAATATTTTTAAACGCAAAACGAGCTTAAGAAGCATGTTCCAAGAAAGTTAAATGATAATAAACAGTTTGAAAATAAATATAAATATGAAAATAAATATAGACATTAAATATTGGAAAACGGAAAGTCACAATTGCACAAATTGCTTTAAGACTTCACGATCTTTTCCAGCGACTCGAGAAGTATATCAGCTAATTCACACACAGACACACACACGCACACGGTATACGTTAGTTTCATTCCTATCACCAAAACATGGATACTAAGGGCCACACAGTTTTAATATCTTACCATGATGTTTCTGGAAAACCAACATGGGCCGCAATCGCACGGCCCGGTCGCCACAGCCGCCAATGTTGATACCAACGCTCTTCCCCTTTTTTAAAATAGCATCGCGCTGCGGGCTATCCCAGGCAATGAAAGTGCCCTGGCCCTTGCCTCTCAGATTCTGGAATTCGTTGGGGTATTGCTTCGCCAGGCGCTCGAGGCCGGTATACAGGTAGTCGCCCGTGGCAGCCGTGTGGTTGACCAAATCCAAGCGCTTGATCTCCTCGATGATTGCGCGGAAGATAAGGGCACGAGCTGGGTCACCCATCCACGTGTTGAATTGACGGTATGGCTTGTTGGGGCGAAGGAGGGAGTCTCCGTAGAAGTATCCAGCAGCCTGGGCCTTCTTGGAGAAAGTGACGATATCCGGTGGGGTTTGGAGGTTCCAGTGGTCGTGGGCCCAGAACTTTCCAGTGGCCCCAACGCCGGTTTGTACCTCGTCAACGATCATGAGGACGTTGTTTCGCTTTGTAATCTCGCGAAGGCCCTGGAAGAAAGCCGGGGAGGCATGGTTGTCTCCACCTTCGGATTGAATAGGCTCAACGACGATAGCAGCAACAGGGTTATGGAATTCTTTGATGATACGTTCAACTTCTGCCAAGCATCGCTTCTCTTCCTGGGCGTTCTCCGCGGCGAATTCCTCTAGAGGGTATTTCAGAACCGGGAATGGAGCCTGGGGCCAGTCGAATGCAGGGATATCTAGTTTGTGGATCGGCTTGCTTCTCGTGGTGGAAAGGGTACCAAAAAGACGGCCGTGGAAAGCAGTTTTGAAGGACATAATAGACAGGGGTGGGGAACCAGGAGCCTGGTTTAACATGGTGGATGCAATCTCGGCCTCGGTGAATTCGACCTCGGGGCCACCACGTACAGATTGTCGGTGGTACATAAACGCAGCCTTGTAAGCGGTTTCGTTGGCATCAGAGCCAGCCGTGGCAGTGAACACCTGGTTGAGGCCTTTGGGTGCGACAGTGAGCATGCCGGACTTGAGGATAGCTGCCCAATCGTGGGACGGGAAGTTCCCTAGCGCAGGACGATTGACCAGAGCGTTCACCATCTGTGGAGACTTCGCAGCGGCAATTAAGGTAGGGTTATTGTAGCCAACCGGGATTGAGGCAATTTGGGCATATCTAAGGGGGATGTGTGTGTTTAGCACAGTCAATTCCCTCGACATTTGGAATGTGATCTCAATTTAAAACGGTTAACACACTAAGAACTTACACGTCCAATAGAAGATTTCCGTCAAGATCAGCAATACTACATCGTAGCAAAACAGGTTAAAAGAAAAATGCTTCCCAAAAGATAAATTCACCAGTTTAGGGTCTTGGAGCATGCTCCACTTACTAGTTTCCGATGCTAACATCATAATTTGAAATCATATTGATGCTTCTCGTATCGAACACCTCTCCTAGTTCCGCAGATGCCTTTTGGTTTTGGGGGCCAGGAATGGGAGTTTTCACAATGGGCCCGGTTGGCTCGCTGGGGAAGAATGGTTTGGTCAGGGCAACACTGGCGCGAAGGTGCCGTGTGGTAGCGAACGACCGGCCCGATTGAAGCTGTGAAAGCCTCTTTAGACCGGCGCCCAAGCTGGAGACTGATCGAGAGATGGCGGCCATCGTGGGTATGCGGATGGAGAAAGAAAGGATTTCAGAATCGTGTAACCACCAGTAACCAGTCACTTAGCTAACTGGCCAGCCAACAGCGCAGTCGAAGCTATGCCAGTAGCTCTGTCTAAGGGCTGCAGCGACAAGATAGGAACAATGTAACAATGTAGATCGAGCTTGGTGCCAGAGGTATCAGCCCGTATGAAGACAGATAGTGAAAAGGTAATGCCTAAAAGACAATGCCAAAAAGGGAGGGAAGGGGAAGATCTTGGAGATATTAATATAAGACGGTTTGCCCCAGAGATGACGCTCCAGAGCCGCAGCTCCCTCGGTGCCAAGACAAGTGGGTCCGGGCCAAAGCCATGGTCCAGGGCCGAGAGCCGCATCGGAGCCGCATCGGAGCTCTAATTGGAGGGAGCTCCGTTCCAAGGCTGCTTCCCCGCATCATGTGCCTCAGCCGTTTCGGCGATTCTGTCCATTCATTCTCCGTGAGAGCTCCCACTGATTCGGCAAGTAACGAGCGACGAGGTGAGTAAGCTTGTTGCAAAGTCACCGATTGTGGTTGTGGCGGTGTGGGTATGAGAGGCTGTAGAGACCGGAGCTTGGTTGTCGGGTTAGATACTAACTTAGTATTCACCAATGTCTCATACCTTCGGCCGTGAAGACTGGATTTGTTTGGGGGATGTCCATTGAAATTTCTCGTGTACTATGTAGAGGGACTTTTTCCTGCATACGGACATCCACAATTTGGTTTTCCCCGTTTTCCCGTTCTACATAGAGATTCAGTGATTTTGACATACCTATTGCAGACTAGCGCCCCCCACAATCTTTCTAGAACATAACAGTTTACTGAGATACCAGGATTTTATCTTGGCTCGTGTCGATATTTGAGCTCTTTGTTCATTTACAGCCGAATTTTCCAGCTATCTAGTTACATATTCTTCGACGCTCCCTACTGCACCTGCGAGTGCTAAGTACTTATACGCCCTGGCAAAAGTCGTTAAGAACAACCAGACATGAGAAGACTGTACCTCCAACCCATCGTGGCATTTTGCACCCTCCCTTAGGGGGCTCATATGGAGACACTATGGTCACTTTTGATGTGATTCATGGAATCCGGGTTGGGGAAAACCACTGGGCCCAAGTTCTTGCTGTCAGAGTTGTCAATGCAAGCCCCAGTTATCCAATTGCTCTTGGGGGGTATTACGACTGCAGTTGCCAAGCTGCATGATCCTCTCTACTTTGATCACACTGATGATGGAGTGGGCTGAACCCAACATTTATACTAAGGATGTATTCCTTCGTGAAGAAATGTCTTGATTGTGCAGGATCCCGAGTCCAAAGAAAACGGATTTAAAAAGAAGTGTTCTCTTAGACTTTTGAATGAATGTATTGTCTCGAGACTATTCTGGGAGGCCCGAGCAAGAGCAGAAATATCTATCCGGGACTTATATCTCCCTTTGCTTCGTTGGCATAATATATTGAGGAAGGTGGATGGTTTCTCTGGCTGGGTTGACTGGGATTAAATTTGCGCATACAGCGTTCTTGGTCACACCACTTATGAAATCACGGTTCCTCCCAGATTTTTTTATATTTGAAAGAACGAGGATGGCGCGGGATGATGAGGGTCTGTATTAGGCTCTCGAGTACGAGAATATAAAAAACTTTGCGATTTGACGGTCGAAAACCCCCGATTGCTCCTCAGACACACGCTGCTGCGACAATCGACGGGCTCCCTTGGAAGATTCTTCGCTTCCGAGAGGCAATGCAATTAAATCGTCCAAACAAGTCATGGATCACTCCAAGGAATGCAAGGACATTGCACTATTCGATTGGCTAAGTATGCTTATTTTCGACTTCGATGGTGTGAATGAAAACGGAAGCAACCCCGTACCAACAAGGATCACTTGCTCCAATAATTCTAGTCAATTTCGATGTTTACTCCTCGGAATGATCTACATGAGCCTCAGAAATGAAGAAACTTGGCATTGGGCCTCCGAGCTCCTACCCTGTGCTGGGTCTTTTTGTTACACAGTTGTGGCAACAAAAGTCCCTCAGATTGAATTCTGTTTTATTAAAATCTATATTTTTTTTACTTTTATCATTTCAACATTCCCTGTGCAAAGTGTTGAATATCTCCATTGCTGTAATCTGTTTATTCTCTACTTCCTTCGTCTGTCTTGCTCGTTCGTTTCCTTGTCTACCTTGATTTCCCTTCTTCCAGCCTAGGAGCTTTGATCCGCTGTGTATATATATCAGATATTTACTAATAATAAAAAAACGCGACGGTAAATCCAAAGAACAAATGATGAGTCTTTAATTTTATATCATCATACTGGGGGGATATTCAGCCAGGGATAAATAATATTTCTGGCAACGGGACCTATTTGAAAAAAATTTTTACTCCTGGTCCCCTAGAATAATTATACGGGCCAGTCTATAATCTGTAGCGAAGATGAATTTGTTCCATATTTGTTCGTTTTCCTGTGTCCCCGTTTTATTTTTATGATATCTGACTTGTGTTAATTAATGTATCTCCATGTTCCATATATTGGTTGGAGTTTGTACAGATGTCGGGGGTTGCTCAGCGTGCCTTTCAGAGCAATAACTGCCTACATACATATCGTGATTCAAACAAGGCAAATGAGGGGGTGTGGGGGGGGATGGAAAAAAAAAAGGGAGAAAAAAGAAAAAGAGAATGGATGGACAATCAGGGAATCGAACCCTGGACCACCCCCAATGTTTTTACAGCAACCTTTTTGGAACTGCTAAGGGGGTATTATACCACTAAACCAATTGCCCCTGTTCTCTTCTCGATTTACGGGCCGAGAATTTCAAGTTCCAAGGCTCCAAGCTGTGCGGTTAGGGTTATAGTTAATTGATTGGTTGACTCTTGACATTTCACCTCACATTGCATCTTTCTCATGTAGATATAAATTATATTATACTAAGAACAATCCTTTCTAAATTACCTTAAGACAGTCAATATTCCTGTTACCACTAGGCAAGTGTTATTGTGGTTGCTGGTCGGCACATCCCGAGCTAGTTGCCAACTGTGGCGCAAAAATATTTATATCGAGATCTAGATGATTCTGACCAGGTTCAGCTTGATGCCACACGGCATCCACTACACTACTATCATGAAGTATACAAGAAAACAATTGCATATAAGTACTTGATATGAACTAGAAAGTTGGCAAGGGAAAAAAGGAAAAAAAAAAAACAGAAAATTGCTCTGATGAGATATGAAATCCCATGAATGGTCAGCATCCGTCACTCATGGCATCACTCCGTTCCTGCAGCGCAAGAAGACGACAATGAGGCAATCTTCGAAAAACAGAGGAAAATAAAAATAGAATAAACATTCGCCCAATCAAAAGACGAAAAGGAAGACATGTTCTATATATTCTATATGTATTGACGTCACATTAAGAGAGTGAAAAATCATGGACGAGAAGTGCACCATATAGAACAGTTGTTATATCATCCTCAGGTGTCACTGCAGCATCCAACGGACCATGGATATGGATAAAAGGTGGGGGAGTGCTCAAAGCGGATGACGGAGATCCAAGGATTTACGACTCGTCTCTGAAGTGGTTATCCAATCTGCCTAATATTCAACGTCTAATATTCCGGGGCAGGTTGTCCCCCACTTAACAATGAGCTGTCCAAAGACCGTCATATGACTCTTTTGACAGCGTTGAGTAAATGCACGCCTTGTGCACGAGCGTGCTTAGGAATCCAGCTTGTGGTTATTCTCGAGGCTTCGGAAGTGACTTCATAAACTGTCCCCCCCCATAACCACTCTCCATAAATATTCATCCATCTCATTAGGCTCTGGCTGCGTATGAACCGTGAGTGAAGATGTTAACACTCAAGAAATTTGGAGAGTAGAGATGGGACCTGGGGTAGGGACCGAAAAGAGTAAACGAAAGGGCAAATAAAAGAGCGCTCTTCGCGTGCTTGCCATTAACGTTGATCGAACAACATTATGCCATACGCCTAATCTGCATTCTCCCGGAATGTCTGCAGCATCGCGCCGCGACTCCCATAGCTCAGCGTAGTTTTGAGCTATCTATCCCCACAGATTCCGATAGAGTAGTACGTCATCTAGAGGTATGGGGCCTCGAACAACGTAGCCCACAACCAACTCTGTTCGTCGTTTAATCAAACGGAACAGCTAAAATCTCTTCGATAAGTCAGGGTGCGAATAGTTCTTTCCCAGAACCCCCAACTAACGCGCCTAAAAATCCACCTTTCGCGCGGATCCTCCAGGAAACATTAGTTCCTTTTTGGCCACCGTCTCCAATCCAAGAGCTAACTGCTGCTACTACCGCTGCTGCGTCGTCGCGAGGAACACGAATCCAGAGTATATCTTTATCCGGGGGAGTGGTTTCTATCTTTAAGATATCAATTGATATGGAGGTGCCAGATACACCAAGGAATTGGGAGAGGGCCGAGGTAAGATATGTACGTGCTGTCAGCTCATCCAGGGTTGACGATGACAGATTTGGTTGAGTAATTCTGGGTAATATTTGAAAGCTAAGTTAGCATTTCGGAACCCTGGATTCTAAGTATAGTGGAGAAGCGTGGACATGGGTTCTTCTTACAGTTGAAGCCGGAGATATGACCATGGCGGCTTGCGGGATGTGAAATTGATGTGGAGGCCATTGCTAACTGCAGAAGCATCAGAAGCTTTTTGCTTGCTTGTATTATTTTCAGCAAAAAAAGTGGATTTTTCTCCGAGGGAGCTTGTCATTGCTCTTTTAAGGGAGGCAAAGGTAATCCTACTGAAAGGTTTTGCTCTGACGTCTGTGAGGGTTGGACGCGGGCATTGATTATTTTGATGGGATGATTGGATCGTCCCTCTTCCGGTTTTCGCTGGCAGTATCTAGTCGCTTAGAAGCTTTGTGAAGCCGCCACCAAAAATAGCCGCGCCTGGGCACGCTAGTACAAGTTTATCAAGCACTTTCACCCGAAACTGTCAGGAATCGAAGATGGTGAAGCAAAAGCCTGGTGATTGGATGAATGAAATAATTGAATGGTAAGATATAATCTAACCGCGTAATTTCATGTTTTGGTGATTGCACAACGCCAACCAGAGCATTGGAAAATCCCATTTTAAGCATGGGCACATGAATGAGAGCATTAACTTGATACTTTCTCCTAGAAGGGGCTTTCAAATGGTGACCCTGGTTTTCATCAAAGTTGCAAAGCTAACCCTTGCCAGCACTTTCATCGCAGTGAATCAAATGGTGAATGTTGACTTCTCCTGCCCCTCTATTTTTCCCATCGCAGGGTGTTAGATACTTCGGCACTCAGGTAACTAGGTGGCCAGCAACATCTTCTTTCCATCGGTCTGGCCACTTTGCTTCTTAACTGTAGGAAAGTAGATAGCAAGCGTTTTTCGAGATAATGAACCCAACTGGCTGCAGACAACTACGAATCGTTCACACCATGCGCGTGTTACAAGCTTATACATATGAACGGAGAAGGGGCAATCTGAATGTATTGGGGAAAAGAAGCTTCCTACCACCTGTAAAAAGAACCCCACAATGTCGAGAACGCAATGGATTGTTGAAGCGATACCGAAATATATCGTGCAGGTATATGTAAACGCTTGGAGGGAAAAAATATATACTGTCAATACATAAAGGCCATGTGCTTATCCATAAAGTTGAGATTTTCAACTTCGGGCGAAAATAGTATTCACTGTCCATTCAAAACCAGCAGAATCAACAATGGCAATGGCTATTCAAAATTCGTCCTTTTCCCTGTGAAATGGCTTGGTGGAGTATACTCTCCTTCACTGACTCGTGAAGCCTCGTCTTTCTATGCGAGTTTGAAAGGGCAGGAGGCGGTATCCCCTTTCCTGTGCAATGTCATTCTTTTTTCTTTCCGTCCTTGGGCCTAACTCATCTAGTAGCTTCGAAGTCGTCCAATCCAATCCAGTTCTATGCTAGAAAGCAAGGCTTCTCTTTTTGTTTGAGCAGAGGAAGCAGGTATTCCGTTCTGTATATCAGCACCCATCTGTGAAACTGGTTTCACAGTAGACGCTGCACTATTAGTTCCTGATACATCATCCATCTTAACAATCCCGGAAGAGAAGCAGGGCTTTGGATCCCATTTGCCAATTGAATAATCGAATTGCCGAAGCTGGTCGACGGTACCGACAAAATAGAGAAAAAAACCATGGCGTCGAATCCTAAACGTAAGTGTCACTGACACAGGAGTACGATTTTAACACAGGAAGCTCTGACAACCTGATCCAGGACGGCCACCACGCCAGCATAGTGCGGCATCTCGGTCCAACGTGCTGAACATCACCGAGCCCATGCCCGGTCAGACAGACTGGTCTGTCGATAATCTCCCCGAAATTTTATACGTTTTTAGACCGACCGCCCCCAAAGTAAGGTCACACAATAAAATGCCTTTGAAACCGTCGCCTTGGGATTCCGGGCCGGACCTGCGGATCTTTGATATTCTGCCGGACAGAATATCAGCCAATGTGGAAGAGTTTCGGGTTGAAGCCTGGATGCGTCTGGATAGGCGCATCCAGCTTCATGATATCACGGATCGTATGCATCCTGAGTTTCGCATAGCAAAAAATGCACTCCAGCAGCGCGGAGTCAGGTTTCGCCAGGCTTTCAGTATACTCTCCTGGGGATCAGGAAATAAACAAACTCAGGTTGTTGAGGAGCAGCTTGAGAAGGAAATGGAAAATAGGGGCATCGACCCCGCATTGAATTCCACTCGCGGTTTGACGCCAGGTTTGATCAACTTGGCTTTGGGTGAGGCAGGCGGGAGAATCCCTGTGCCTGAAGCATACAAACAGCGCTTTCAGGCGTTTGCTAAAGAGCAACAGGAGTTGATTCAGCAACTTTCAACAATGGATACGCCCGTATTGGTGGCCCATACCCTCAGGACACAGAAAGTGCAGCAGTTGTCCATAGATCTGCCGGTTGAGTCACCCGACCATATGCAAGACGTTCTTCCAGGATTCGTGTCACCAACGAATCCGCCGAGCCAACTGATCAGCCATGACATTTTGGATGACAATGTCTCTCATGATCGCACCTCGCAGGAACCTATAGAACAGAGAGATGCTACCGCTCAAAATTCAGATGGAATATGCGCGAGCGTCAGCCAGGATGCATGCTCAGTTCAGGAAGGAAATGTGGATTGTCCAGAAACAACCGCCCCGGATGCGTCAAATGGTGTTCCCTTCCCGCTTGAAAATGGTCCTTACCCTGGAATCCCTTGTTACGGAGAACCCTTGGAGATCAAAGAGGAGCCGCCGACACCAACTAAAGTTCGAGTTACTCGAGTGCCTATCGAACTCTTGATACAGCAGTATGTCGATATCCCATACTGCTGGAAACTTGAAATGTTTGAAGCAATGCATAAAATCCATGCTGTGATGGCTCCAATAACTCATCCAGACGACCCCCTCCAGGGAGAGATGGTAGCCGATGAATGGGAATTATTTCCAACGATCCCTGACGTCCCTTTTGACTCTCTGGATTTCGGAGACTCAGGGGACCAACCGATCGAATATGAGAAGATGGAGAGAGCGATGAAATATCAGCGAGAATACGACATCGATATAGACTATTGTGAGCAGTTGCGGGCTTCGTGCGGGCTGAATTTTGCTTGAGTGACCATAAAATCGATCGAGAGTTTTTTTTTTTTTTTTTTTTTTTTCGTGCCAATGTGCTTCGGTTGTGTATAGTATATCACGCAAAATACGTTTTTCGGGATAGGACTGGAATGTCATGGTTACGATTTTGATGACCTAGTCA